GGGAAAACATTAAATAAAAACACAACCTTGAATTAGACATCACAAAATGATTCTAATTACTCCACACTCACACATAGTTAAATTCATGTTGGATAACTTACCTCGGCCATGTTGAACAAAGCCACCATCAACAAAACCAGCAAAATAATCGTGTACGAGTAAGAACGTGCTGCCATTTTTTATTATTTTCTAACAAGAAAAACACGATATTCTTAGAAGAATTAAAGAAAGGCAGACAGAGAAATATATGTGACGTTTAAGAATGAGGAGTATAGGTGAATATTTATGGGTAATTTTATTCATTTCTTTGGAAAAGATCACAATCATAAATGAATTTGGGAAAATTAGTAGGAAATTGCATAAGAAATGCCCATTAAATGTTGGCACCTGTTTTTTCATTTATTTATTTTTGTGCTTGATTTGCTACTCATTAATTAAAATTTCCCCAATTTTCTTCCGTCTTTTGGCATGTCAGTAGTGTCCTGCTAACCATCTGTTGCTTGCTAATCATAAAATGCATTTAAATTTTAATCCTTAAATGGGTGCAATAAAATTGTTTATTCAGTCCGTTTACGTTTTTGGCTATTTGTGATGATATATACTTACTTTATAGACGCCCTTGCAGATAAAATTACCATATTTTCGAATAAAGGAAAAGAACAATAAGTGCTCAAAAGTGTTACTATACATTCGGAGCTGAGTATCTTTATTTTTCTTTTTGCAATTGGTTTTTAAATTTGGATATGAATCGACTTCTTGTGATTGAGATATGAAGAGATGTGTTGGATAATACTTTCATTGGTAAATGTACATGAGGGTGAAACACTTATTTAGAAGTCCATTTTAAGATGGACTTTTTGAAAAGTGAGTGTCTAATATAAGTTTCTTTGAAATAAACTTCTTGTGCGAGTTACTTTTTTAAAAATTCATTTTAATAGTACACCAAACATCTTTCTATATAGGAAATGGACTTTTACAGTCAAAAGTCCATTACAAAAGTGCTTCCAAAAAGATAATAATTTTTAATATATGTCAATTAATGATTATAATGTTAATTCGCATAGGAATAATGTCTTTAAAAGATAATGATTTTTAACATATGTCCATTAATGATTGTAATGTTAATTCACATAGGAACAATGTTAAGACGCTAAAAATTTGAATCAAACTAGTAAATCTAGTGAATCAATTTGATAAGATGTTATTTGTATATGTGGACCAACTAAAATAGTTTATTGATACAAAAACAATAAAAAATTAAACCAAACTAGTTTTAACCCGTACATTTGCACAAAAAGAGATATAATAGAGGAGGAAGTAATAAAAAATACAAGCAAAATAATAGCTAAATTAATTAAAAATGTAAGATTTAAGTAAGAAAATCTAAATATTATTAAATATTTTCTTATATACAACATTCATGGTTTTTCTATCGTCATAATCTCCATCACCACAAATCATTATCTTCAAATCCTTCCAACTCGTGACTCTGGAAAGAGCGACGTGCAATTGCCCATGAGTGAATTCAGGGCTCTGCAGTAGTAAGTCGACATGCGACAAAGACTGTCCTTGACTCGTATTGATTGTCATAGCATAAGAAACCATGAACGAAAATTGTATACGCTGAAACTTGAACTGTACCCTCAAGCAGATGGTATAATTGTAAGTCTAAGAATAAGAACCATAATTGTAAGTCGAAGGTAATGCTATTGTGGAATTTCGTTAAAATTGAAAGCTTTTGGCCAGCAACACTATCTTCGTTTACCGAACGACGTAAGCAAAGCCCTTCTTTATGACCAAGCACTCGAAACATCTAGAATAATAAAGACTTCTTACTTACCAGATATATACTAGCGGCAAACTCTCTAGACAACCTAGAAAAAGGTGCTTCCCTTTCATGCCGAAGAGGAAGTTTTTTTTTCTTATTCTAGCTCTTCTCGTAGAAAGTGGTAGTCAAGTAGTCCCATCTAAACCCCTTATGCTAATCAACTTTTGGATATTCAGTCAGAACTAGATATAGATTCGGTTAAAGGAATAGGCTTCTTTGCATACCAATTAGAATTTATTGATTTGAATATTTGAAATATTTAATAGAGATACATACATAATAATTTCAAAAGAAATAAAAATTCAAAAATGAGATTTGAGTTAATTTCACACCGACACATAAAAAAAAGAGCAGAAGAAACCGGTCCATGACTTTACGTCGGTAGAATGCTACCTCCAATTCTAGAGCCAACGATTCCCCATCACTTAACGGCATGGTTGGCAAGGTGTGGTCGTAGATCAGAGCAAGATGGTCAAGGAGATTTGAGTATCTGTAATTATATATCAATAATCATTCAAAAGTTTTGGGACGAAGCTGTTGTGTATGTGAATTTTTTTTCTAGGGTTGATAAGTTTTAGCCAGAGCGTTTATAACACGACTCAAATAAGCCTCACTCACTGGTATATGGGCAATTCTTCCTGTTGCTTTTACAGAGCTTCCTTCTTGTATCATCAAACCACAACCCATTATTACAACACCAACATTATTTGATTCCAAATTAAGAGCAATGCTTATTATACCTTCTTCAAATGTCTGTGTTGATACATTTTATCATAATTAATTATCCGAGAGTAACCCTATGAGTTCTGCACGAGAAATCCGCTGAGGGACATGTGTATAGGGTTCCAAACCTTCTTCAATATTAAGAATGAGAGTTTCCACCAGGAAATGATTCTCCTAAAAGAGTTGCCTAAAAATGACGGCTTCGTTGGGAAACGTCGAAGTAAGTTGTGGCTTCTATACAAAGAATGTCCGTAGGATGTCTTTTATAAATGCAGTCTGAATGCATATAGTGCCATTGTCCGATCGACCAGCGAAACGATCCTTTGACAATGAGGCTGACAAGGGTGGTCGTAGATCAGAGCAAGATCGTGATGAAAGATTAATGAATGAGGAAGTGGAAGACTGCTTCAATGTTCAGTGTGCGAGCAGATGAACTAATCAGGGAAAGGCCAAAACATGCTTTCGAACATCCTACATTGTACATTCCATATGGGGTCTATCGTGTGAAGTTAGAGTAATAAACGGAGTTTGAGGTCTTTAACTCTGACTCTCGATAGAGTTTGCTTTGCAAGGTTTAGCTATCCAAGGTTTAAATGGGAAGCCTTACTAACAATGAGGGTGCTTGATCACGACGACCATTTGACACCAATCTGATTGGGATTAACCAATTCCCCCCACACCCCCTTCCCAAGGAGGGTGCTTGATCACGACGACCATTTGACACCAATCATCTTGCCCATTCACA